TAAATTTCTCTTTAAATTTAAATTCTAAAATGTATTTTTATGATGCCTATCAGATTTGTCTGTCTTTCATACGACATTCCTGAAGGGCTCTGTTGTGAAGTTATCATGGAGTTTAGCTACTACTTTCCTTAAAAGGCAAACTCCATGCATATATCCTGTAGACATAGTCCAAAACTGGAACAATATTCAGATAAATTGTCATTGCCATCTTCTTTATAGACTAACAGGCTTCTGTTACCCCAGAGACTTGAAATGGAGTAAAGACCTGTAAAGATTTCATTGTTTCCCTGAACATTCAACTTGGTTTTCTGAATTTCTGTATGACTTTTAAGATTATTCAAGGGGGGTATTTATTCATATTGGATCAGTAAAAAAAGTTTCCATGATGAAACACACTGTTCATATACATTCAGCATCTGTATGGCTGCAATAACTAAATACAAAAGCACACTCTGCAGGGAGAACTCTTGAAAATGTGAAGCTGAAGTGTCGTGGTGAGATGTATCCTTGTGGGTGTCCACAGTACAGCCAGGAGACACTCTCCGGGCTTTCAAAATCCTATCTGGGCCTTTATTGCACTGAATACAAATCCTGAGTGAGTTCTCTAGGGGAGCCGCTCATGATTATTCCAGAGTTCTGTCCAGAACACAGTGGAAGAAAAAAATATAGCCAAAGCCATAGTGAATGACTTTGGGCTGCTGCCACTGCCTCGTGCCTGCCTGGCCTGCTTTGAGCTGAGCAGGGAGGAAAACAAGGTATGCTGAGCATATTTGCAGCAGCTGCAACAAACCACTCTCCCATCAACCTTGCTACAGCTCTGGTTCTTCCAGACTGATGAGACAGTGCTTGGACTCCTGAGAAATCAGGGAATTGCAGATTTCCTTCCTTGTAGTTCAGAAGAATCTCAAAAGGTTTTGCTTAGCTGGGTACATGTGCTAATCTGCTTTATCAACCTACTTGCTACACTGTTGACCATGTTTGTAAGTCTGTTAAATGTAAAATGATGAACGAGCTACTGCAGTGTAATTGCAAGACTTCCAAACTGCCAAAGTAAATGACTTATAGTGCCTTCGTTTACTTTCTAGCAGATAAAAATAACTTTTGCACCACTGCCTAACCTTTTGTAAAGACAAGATTTCTGCAAGTGTTTTTCAACACCAGCAATTCAATGGCTGACACACATTTATGCAAATAAAACTTGTCTTGGGCTTACTCTCTAGAAGTTGTGTTTTCATTGATAAATATGTTTTCCATAGGTCCTGCAGGTTTTTTCCTCCAAGGGAACAGAAATTTCTAACTTCAAAACAGGAAGTGAAAGGTTACATTCAAGTTGTGCTGCGGTTGATTTCAGTAAGGGTTTTTTTTCACTAGTGTGATAAAAGCAGATGTCAAGAGAGCACTCGTGGATGAGTTTACCTGAAAGCCTGGGGGAGGGTAGGCAGAGGGTAGATCAACTGTGTTTCTTTTTTCTTGCAGTTCCTGCACTGCTCCTCATCTCTGGTCTACAAACCTTGCCAGTGGAAGTGGGGAAACAGACGGGTCAGGAATTGGCTTTATTTAAGAAGTCATTATCTGTGTGCATGGAACTGTGTTGGCAGCACTGCCAGTTATCTGCCATCCACACCACTTTGGTGTTTTGGGTTCAGCTGCTGTGTGAAACTCTGTGTACATACATGGGTGTACTAGAACCACGTCACAGGCACGCTCCTCTAACACCTCTCATCTATTGGTGACACTCTTACTTGGCTTAAAAAAGGGAACACCGTGAACAGCCCTTACCAGTAGGTGCTGGAGTTTTCCTAGTGGGAATGTCAGACTGAAGGAGATTATTCTGTAAGCTGTCTCATCTCCTCTTACACATTGTAAAGTTCACTCCTTCCTCAAGGACTGTGCAGTATCAAATGTCTGTTGAACAACAACCTGCTTGTGAGTGCCAGAAGTGAGGCTAACTCAATTTTTCTTGTGATGAACCATTGCACATTCTCCTTGCAGGATTAAAAGAACAACATTTTTAACTTCTGGTATACCCTGAAGAGTGTTTGTCTGTTGTGAACACCCTTGATGCTCCCACCTGAAGGCATTATAGGAAAGGGATCACAACCTTGCTTCAGTTTCTTCTGAATAAATCCCTAACAAAATCCCTAAAATTCTTCAGTAAGTAGAGTTTAGATGTCGATGGCCTCACCTTGACACATTTTAATTACAGAAATTTATCATGCCTTCTTCGATGTTCCCCATATTTTCTGTTGCACAAGAGTTTACCACAGAGGACAATCCTTTGGGAGGAGAGCTGTGTATTGTGTGAGAACAGTGCCTTGACTATTTCCAAGTGCCTGGTAAAAAAGATCTCAGTGAGGAATGATGTGGACTAAATGCACAGTTACTATTTCCTGTAGGACTGGCATAACAGAATAGGAGAAAAGGCAACTTGAACTGTGTTGTGCATCTTCACAGGCTTGAAAGAAACAAAGAAAATCTCTGACCACCACAAGTTTAAGAAAGCAGATATTAAAGACATTACATTAACAACCCTTAGAAATGCAGGTGTGTGGGAGTTTTATATTAAATTTAATAGGAGTGCATGCAAATTTCTTTCCTTTACTCTGCTATGGGCAGTAAAGTCATGATATTATCAAAGAGACAAGCATAGAAATGTGTACAAGAACACCTGCAAGTGGTTGCAAAGAGGAAAAACTATTTATGGATCTTTTGGGGCTTAAAAACGGTGCTGAAAGGGATTAGGTTTTCTCTCATGCTTGGCTTTTACACCAAAATTATCTACCCATCATAAAGCTACTGATTAATTTACTTGTAGGAAGCAAGACACTAAAATCAGGCACATGACCATCAATGCAATATTTAACCAGAATGTTTACTATTCACTGGTGTTTGTTTATGCAAATAATTATTTGGCTAGTGTGGCTCTTTGAAGAAAGGAACTCCTTGTTAAAGTACCTGTGCTGCATTGAAGCGCATACCATTTTAAACTTGAAAAACATTCTGCAGGGAAAAAAAAAAACACCAAAAAAAACAAACCCCAAAGAACCCCCAAAACCCCAGGATGATTAAATTTAATGCTGGTATTTTTAAGGTAAAACTGAAGCAATTCAAAAATTCATGCCAAAAGAAAACAGATATATCTTTAGGCTTTCTGGCTGAGGTATCCTAAGAAAGGAACTGCAACAAAATCTAGATTCAGTGTTAAGAATGTCCTTTGCAGAGGCACAGAGACATATGGGGAGCTTTGTCAGAAGCAGCAAAGCCTCCAGAGCTGGTGGATGAGGTGAGTGGTCTCACAGCTCCCCAGCTGCAAGGAGCAGTCCTCATTAATGCTGAACTCATTATTCAGGTTCCTGGTTGTGTAACTTGCTATTTGTTCATTTTGCTGGTGTGGTCAGGAGTCACTCAGAGTCAAGGAGCCTGACAAACATCTGCTTTTTCCAGGTCTATGCTGGAACAGATTGTCACCCTGAAGCCCCAACATCTGCTCTGTGCAGAGGAACAGTTGTGGTACTCGCTTGGTGCCAGAGCCTCTTAAAGGCACATTTCGCTGCAAAGCAGCAGAGCCTCAGTGTGATAGCTGAAGGGTCAGGTTTTGGAGACAGAAGGTTGACTTCCAGGGATTTAACAGGGATTTACCACTCAGCTTTTCCTGTGCTTCCTAAAAAATGAAGTACACAAGTAATAAGGCTGAATTTACTTGGGGTTTTTTGGTTTGGTGGTGGTTTGTTTTTTTTTTTTTTTTTTGTTTTGTTTTGTTTTGTTTTGTTTTTGTTTTTGGGTTTGTTTTTTTTTTTTTTGAAAAGAAAAAAAAAAAAAATTCAGTCTTCTGTGTTTTTCAATAGAGCGGCCCAGAAAGAGATCATGCAATCTGCTGGAAAATGTGTCTTTCATCATAGAATCATAAAACAGCTTAGGTTGGAAGGGGACTTTGGAGGGCATCTGGTTCACCGCCTTTCTCTGAGCAGGGAAAGCTTGCAACTTTTATCAGTCTGAGATGGGAAATGAATTTCTGTAGGGAAGAAAAACCTTAAACAGGAGAGCTGCACCTGCAAAATTCTGAGATTTTTTTTCCCCTGTATTTTGCCTGATTATCAGAGCCCAGAGTGACTGGGCTGCTAAAGTGTATCTGTTCCAACAAAACCCTCTGCTAAGCTAATTACAAAGGTCTTCTGTTGCAACCCACTTTGCTAATCCTCAAACAAATTCAAAGTGATTATCTTGGCCTACTACAGGCAAGGAACAAAAGTAAGTCCAAATGTAACTGAGGCTTCATTACAAATTTAAGAACTAACGACAGTCAAGCAGATATGGGATATGTTATATATTTTACTTTTATTAAATGATAATTCTATTTTACATTATGTGCTAAAACTTTGGGGACAGGGGAGGAAGGTGATGTACCCAAACAGCAGTGCAGATTGTAAGGCTACTAAAAATGATTCAGATATTGCCCTGTGGGGGAAAAAAGAAAAGAAAAAAAAAAAAAAGTTTTTACCCTCCTTTAATTCAAACCATCCACGTGAAATACACTACAGCCTAAATATATTGGATTATTGGATTGTAACAGGAGGATGTAAGCACACCCTGCCTCCTTTAATTTCGTTTTACATTAAAAACATGAGCAGGCTGCGGCGCTCGGTCGGTGCGGGAGGTGGAACGGCTCTCCCGGGAGCCAGAGCTCCGCAGTGGCGGCACGGGGGCTGCGGCTGCCCCGGAGCCAGCCTGGGGCGCGCAGGGAGCGGCCAAGGGAGCTGCCGGCTCCCGGCTCCCGGTGCCGGCTCCCGGGTGCAGGCTCCCGCTGCCGGCTCCCGGCTCCCGCTGCCGGCTCCCGGCTCCACTGCCAGCTCCCGGCTCCCGCTGCCGGCTCCGGCTCGGAGCAGCGGCCGTTGGGCGCGCCCGTTATTCCCGCCCGCCCTTCCCGCCCGCCCATTCTCCTCAGGCGGGCGGGGCGCCGGGGCCGGGCGGGTGCCGGGGGCGGGCTGGGGACAGACGGGACGGGTCGGGAGGGGACGGCACAGTGCCTGTTCCCCGCACCGCCGGGACAGCGACGCCGAGGCTCCCGGCTTGCAGCCGCCCCGCCATGGCTCTCAGCTCCGAGCGGCTCTTCGACTCGCTGGGACATTTCGGCAGGTACTGGGGGTGCCCGCGGGCGGCTGTCACACCCGGACATCCCCGTGCGGGGACCGATGGCTCCCGCGCTGGCCGGGTGTCACTGCTGCCCCAGGGCAGGCGGCTCCGTGCGCTGCCGGCGGGGCGCTCACTCGGACACAGCGACACATGCACGGGGACTGTCACCCGCTCGCAGAAAATGACACGCGGCAGCGCGCTGGGTGAGCTCGCACGGAGCTGACAGGCACTGCTGCTTGTATTTGCAGCACCCCACGCCCCCCCCGTGCACTTTTCCACGCGCGTGCAGCACATCCCGTGTGTGCCCGGCTCGCACCGCAGCCATCCCACATGGCCTCAGGGAGCTGCCGGCTCCACGTGCGTGCAGCCGCCCCGTCAGGGCCGTGCGCTCTCAGAGGCTTAAAACTCACACATTTCTTGCACTTGTGAGCGCACAGACAGACAGACAGACACACACAGCCCCAGGGTCTGGAACAGCCTGCGCACTTCAGGGGTGACAGAAGGGCACAAACAGTATGCAGAGGAGCGCTGTGTGACACTCAGGCTGTTTCTGCTTAGGGACACGGGGTTGTTGAGAGCAAGAGATGATGTGTTTTATTGAGGCTGGGTTTGTTGTCTGTGTTACAGGCATATGGAGTATGTGCATATGTCCTTATCGGCAAGGGTTTACCTGTATGGTAAATGATGTGTGCCTGGTGGCGAGTTTCTTTTGATGTGCCTTGTGGCTGTGGGGTGTGTGTGTGTACAGAGGTCTGTGCTGGATGGATACACAGACATGGCATGTGTGTGTCTGTTTATGCTTCTGTAGCTCTGGGTGCAGGGCTGCTGACTGAGACTGCTTATAGCAGGTAATGGAGAATAAATGTTAGGCAAGGAAATTAAGTTTTAGAGGATATGAATATTAAGGCTAATGGGTGCACATCCGTGCAGTGAGCTCTCTCCTGCACGTCCGTGATGTGCTGGTCATCGTGGGGTTTGCAGGCACATGCCCCTCGAGCAGATGGCTGGAATAGACCCATGTGTCACAATTTGGCTACGAGTTCAAGCTGTTGAATTGCAGTGTTGTGCTTTCTAACTCGGTGACCAGTGAGCCAGCCTAACCCACAATGTTGGTCTTCTCTCAGTGGCAGGAGCAGCATTTTGGACAAAGCCTGGGAGCTCCTTGTAATGGTTGAAGTGCCTGAACTGCAGCAGGAGAGGCTCTTAATATCATGTGCAAGCAGTAGTGGTGGGTATCAATAGCCTCCTCAGATGGTTAGGATGGAAAGACGTTTTCTTGCTTAAGTGGCACCTGTGCTTAAATTAGGTGTTTGACTAGGTTGTGACTTACAGGCATGTGTAGCTGAACAAATCTCATTTGTTATCAATTCTGGGTCAGCAACAAAAATACCTTGTTCTGTGTGAATTAGGAGAGAAATCCCAGCAATCAGTTGATTTTGCTGCTGCTGTTGTTTTCCTATTTTGTGCTCTTTGTGGAAAGCAGGCACTTGACACTGAATACTGAAATAACACAAAAGTAGTTATTTTTAATTACCGGAGTAGTTTTCCTACTTGAGAACATTTATCAACACTTTAGGTAAAGTTTTCAAGACTACTCCTTGCAATTAAAAGGAGACCAAATCTACAGCAATAACCTGACATCTAGGGATCAGATTATTTGAGAAGCAGTTCAATAAGAGCTGCTTTAAGTTTAGGAGCTTTGAGATGAGATGCAGGCTAGACCATAAATCTAACTGAGATTTCAAAGGCCACAGTAGTGGTATAGTATAACAGTATGTATAATAGCAGTTTATGGTGGGTGAAGCTATTAAAAAATATTGTAAAATCTTTTAATAGTGCTAGATAAATGATCCTATTTAATATGAAAAGTTGTTCATAACTGTAACCACTGAGTTTCTTCTGCTCAGTTTGCAGCATCCTGGCACCAAGAGATAATCAGTTGTTCATTTCTTCAGTTCAGGCAATTCCCATAAGGCCCATATAACCAATGCACTATATATAGATTCTGTAGATTTGACACAGTCAGATTCTGAGCAATCCCAGCATGACTGTTAGTATTTTGAGACTGTTTTGATTTTCTTAAAATCGGACAGATGCAGTAGAGAATGAGCAGCTGTTCATACAGATATTTAAATACAGGAATAATAAGCATGCATTTTATGTACATGTAATATATAATACATAGCTATAGAAAAGTTATTAATATACAGATAATATATTAGTTATTAATATACAGATAATATATAAATTATTAATATAAAGATAACATATATACCTTTCCCATTGATTAAGATTGTGAATTTTACAGAATTGACATTCACATGGATGCTGACAATATTTTGCTTTCCATTTGGGCTCTCTTTCACAGTCCTCAGTGCTGCCATTGTTCCTAACAGAGTCTTAAGACATGCCTGAACAGCCATAAAAATGTAATGGCTCCTGCAGCCTATGCCATTAAATGAAGACTTTATGCCTCTGTTTTAATTTGGGCATGGGTAGCATCTGTGGCCTATAAATTCAAGAAGGTTGTTTTAAACATTGTTCTTGACTCTGTGGAGCATGAGATCACTGGTCACTCTTGCAGAGATTGGGTGACAGACAAATAGTGCTTGCCTGACTCAGATGGCCTCATCACTAAAGGGTTGCCAAGCCTTAAAGGATTGCCAAGCTTCCCAATGTACCTGCAGTAAACTGCATCCTTCTCCCACTCAGCAGATCCTGCCAGACTGCACCTATGGGCTCTCCCTCTCAACCCCCTGCCTCAGCCCCTCTCTGCCACCCCCTCCAAGTCCAAAAAGCCTCTCAGGGGCCCATCAGGTAAAGTCAGGTGCAGTCAGACACTGGCTGTCCCTGGCACCCCTGTGCTGGGAAAGGGGAGACACGATCAGTGGCCATGAGATTGGTAGCACAGTGGGTAGGTGAGCCTTAGGAGATGGCTCACACTGCCTGCATGGCTAGTTCCCAGGGAAACTAAAGGACTTTTAATAACTTCAGTGGCTTTAATCTACCAGCAGGACACAAAACATACACAAGTGTTTCTCACTTGCTGGTGAGAAACAGGCTATGTTAGTATAGCCTGCACCATGGCAGTGTGCTGAGTGGGACATGATCTAATCAGGAATGGCTGTCTGGAGGGAGAGCTGGGGAGGTGCCCCTTCTGGTAAGTGTGGATGAGCGTAAGGATTTGATTTCCCAGCTGGAACGTCTGGTAGCTCTGAGATGCAGCTTACACGGTATGCAGCGTTTTCCTTGTGATTAACAGTTTTCAAATCTTGGCTTATACTTTAGCTAAAAGCAGGTGGTGAAAATTGTCGGGGAGAGAGAGAGATTGGGTGTCACTGACACTATTTCCAGATTTTGTAATGAAGTATTTCCAGAATCTTTTAAAATATTGCCTTTTCTTCTGAAATATTCTGTCTTTTACAAAGTTGAGTACATTACCTAGATTTTCAAATGTTGGTTTTATAAAGAATGCATTTTACTAGCAGCTAGACTATCCAATAAATCAAAAATGACTGGTATTTGTCTCTACTGAGATATTTATGTATTTATTCAGGTTTTGACATCTTTGCACTGTTGTCTTCTATGAACTTTTTGCCTGGTCACTGCCTGCTACTGTTTGGACTTTAGAAGCAAGCAAACCAAAGATTAGCAATGGCTATTGTGAGGAGGAGGGAAGCAGGAAAAGCTGCCTGTTTGGATAGGACAGTCACCTGTTCCAGCCAAACACAGGATTTAGTAGACATTAGTACACTTACCAGCAGTTTTGACATCTCTTTATTACCCTGGAACTTTTCTAGTGTTTATAAATATATGAAAGAGTCTGCTTAGCTAAAAAACTTGCTTAAATTTTGTAGAAATTCCTTGTATTGGACTTCTGCTGACTGCTGGTCAGTGCCATGGTAGCATATTTGAGTGGCTGGTGCTAACAACTGTTTCTCCTCTCCCTACTTTGCAGAGCTTTGGTTCACTTCTAAAGCTCTACACCAAACAGTCTGTCTTCTTTTCACATCTTGGAACTTTTCCAGGCTCCTCTTTTCATGCTGTTGCCCTTATCCTCTCTCTTGTTTCACAGCTCACAGCTCTTGTGATCAGATTACATCTGCAAATTGTGCTGTGTACATTTTACTTCCAGAAATTCTTGGTTTGTATCAATTAACAAGGAGTCCCAGGTATCTCAAAGATCTTGCTCACTGCTTCTTTTCATGAAAATTATAAGAGAACACTTTCAAGCAATGATTTTTCACACTCACATCTGTGATTTACAGATACCTTGAAAGGTTCTTTCCCAGCAAAAATATATTTTTCAAGTGGAGAAGTGTGTGCTTGTTAGATATGGAAAGAAATTGGTTTTACTTTTTCAAGTTAGTATGGAGAAGCAGGTAATTGTATTCATATTCAGCATTTGAACAGTCAAGTTTTAATTGAAAAAGTGGAAGCATTACAAGATTTTTCTCAAATACTGATACATTTAGTACTTAGTACATTCTACACAAAATTAGTATTTTTAAACAATATAATGTGAATTTCTGCTTAACCTTTTAGTAGTTTGCTGAAGATTAGCAAAGTGCTGTGGTTTAGAGATTGTTTTTAAAAAAATAAATCCTTTTTTTCCTCCATTGCTAACTTATACAGTGGAAAAGTTTATTGAAACATATTTGTCATTCTGTTTTCAAAATGTACCAGTGGACAGCTGTCAGACAGAAGAATCTCATATCTAAGTCCTCCTTTGGCTCCCAGTCAGGGGTGGTGTTTGACAGAAATGTTTGATAAGCATTCTTACAGCTATGCTATATTCTAACATCTGAGTCAGCCTGTGCTCATTTCAGATGTTCATAGGATGGAACAGGGGGACTTGACAGCATTTCTTTTTTTCCCCTTTTTTTTTTTGGTGGGGGGGAGGGAGGGTGGGGGGATATTTTGCAAATAGTGCTTAACCTTGTTGGTTGAAAGGCATGGTAATGGCTTTGGAGAGCCGAGACAGCCCATGTGTTTTCAGAGAGCAAACTCCAGCAGCCCAAACAAAGGCCTTATTATCTATGCCTGACTAGGCAAAAGTGGAAATGTTCTCAAGACTCAGAACCAAAGCTGGATACTGGCAAGTGCTGCAGGATAATGGTGGCAATGTACGAGCAGCATGGTCTGCAAGAGGTTCTAACAGCATTTGCTGGGATCTGGGGGCAGTCTAAAGCAAGATCTGCACAGACAAAAGTGTTCTGCCACAGAACATGCTGGCATCCTCACCCTGGAGGTGCTTGCCTGTTTCTGGCTTGAAAAAGTGGATTACAGTAAGAGAAGCAGATTAAAAAGTAGATTGCCATAATAGAAAGATGACGAAATCAAAAGCAGGATGAAATTGCACCTGTACTATCCATTTCTTCTCTAAGGCTAGAACCTGCAGTGCGAGCAGCCCTGAAACCTAAAGCTGGTAAATCAATTATGATTTGCCAACCAGACGGCTGAGATTCACCTCTGAAATGTTGCCAACACCCCAGGGTGGCTTCTAAACCAAGTTGTAAAATAGACACAGTTATGGCAGCATAAGGCAGTTATCACACATGTCAGGGAGCTGATGATCAACTCTTTCATCCTGAAATATTATGGTGTGAATGAGTATGAAATATGTAAGGCACTGGACAGTGTGTTCCCTGTAATACAATGCTTAGGACAGGGATACCATTTCTATAAAAGCTGTTTCAGTAATTTTCTTATAATAGTAATAATTTTCAGCAATATTAAGATATCTTTAAGTTGGACAGAAATTTGTATTAAAGGCCTTACTCATGGAAAGTTTGAATTTATTGCAGGAAGTAAAGTCATACAAGCAGAAACACCCTTAAATTTAGGAAATTTTTGGAAGGCCCCAGGAACCTTTCTGTGACAATTTCTGTGCCACCATTTTGCTATACACAACAAGGACCATACTGAGATACATACACTGCTGACATTTTCATTTAAGATAACTCTTAAATAAAACTCTAGCAGCTGAACAAGAACATGAGATCCTCAGCTTTTCAGAAATACGGAAAAAAATAGCATGCCAGAGAAGATACCAGCTGAGGTAGCTATATCTTGTTTACAATTGCAAGACTGGAAAAAGTGTGATGAAAAATTGTAGAAGACAGGGATTTACAAGTCCTAATAATGATGGTTAATCTGTCAAATTGTCCATACACTTTGAGATAAATCTTAGCTGTCTTGGGAAAATACTGAAATTGCTTAGAGAGC